CTCTGCATGACACCCGCTCGCATCCTGGAACACGCCTGGCGCTGCTGGCCGCTGCCAGGGCTGCTCCCCGCTCTTCCTGGGGGACACACTCCCGCCACCAGGCCCCTTCCTAGTGACCCTGCCATTCCCCGTGCTTCCCAGTGCTGTTCCCTTCATTGTTCTTCTCAGACGGTGTCGTTTTCACCTGTTGTGGTCTGTCTCCGGCGGGATGGCTTTGTCCCGGCCCACGTGAAATCACCCGGTTCTGTGTAGGGATATCAGGTGTGGAGTCGGGTGCATGAGTCCCCCTACCGGGCTCCAGGACTGCTGGGTCCAGGGGCTGAGGGGGCAGGCCCAGCAGCTTCCTCGAGCGCCCTCCTTTCCCGGTCAGGTCCCCGACCAACTACTGCCTTCATACCTTCCAGGCCAGGTCAGACCCTTCTCTGTGGGGCATCCGTCCCCTGCCCTAAGGAAGGGCTTGGAGGTCCTCACCCACCCCTACCCATTTATCCCCGCACTGTGGTGTCTGTCATTCCCACAGTTGGTGAGTATTTATCTATTGAGCACCTATTATATGCAGACGCTTGCTCTGCTGGTGCTGGGATGCAGCCCCACCTGCAGAGAGCCAGTGGGAAGAGTAGGTGGGGGTTCCACCCAAGCCCCCACCTCCTCGGCTGTGAGGCCAACAGCCACCCATGGCAGCCCCGCACGCCCCCCCCCAGCCCAGGTCCTGTTCCTGCAGAGGACTGAGGACAGAGGATGGAGGACAGGCACAGACGAGGTGTGGAACGTGGGCAGAGGCCCCCGCACCTGTGAGAGCCTGAAGGAGCAGAGGCCCCCTTCTCTCCTCCGTCTCTCCTCCCCGAGGTCTGGGCCTTCTCTCCCTTCTTTCACAGCTGAGAAAAGCTCTCAGATTAACAGAGCCTCCCTCCCTGCCCTCCTGCGCATGGCTGGCCAGGGAGAAGTAACACTTTGCCTGTCTTGGTCGCAGGTGGCCAGAAGCCCCCTGAAGGAGTTTGACAAGGAGAAAGCCTGGAGAGCCGTCGTGGTGCAAATGGCCCAGTGACGTGGGAGGGGAGCCCGAAGAGCAGGCCGGCCTGGCCCCAGCGCTGAGCTGCAGAAGTGTCCCCGAGCCCCTCCTTTCTAACTTGCCTTCCCCTTGTGAGGGTGGGCGGGCTGTAGGTGGTTTTCACTTGTTACCTAGTTTAATTTTGAAATGGGCAAATGTTGACCATTTGTGCTTGTCGGTCCCTCAGTTCAGTGCTCCCAAGGCGGCCTGACTGCATGAGGCCAGGCCCCCAGGTGCGGAAGGGGCTCAGGGTAGAGCTGGACCGTCCAGGCACTGCTGTTCAGGCAAACCACAGGTCTCTGGGTTTCCTGTCCACTCTATGGCCGGCTGCCTGTATCTGCGCCTCCCCCATCTCACCCCCATCTCATCTGCCCTGCTCACTTTTTTGAGCACCTACTGTGTGCAGCCAGTATACACCCTGTGCTCAGCCCCGTGTGGATCTCACTCATTTTGGCGTTTCTCTTCCGAGACATGCTCAGATGAGGGAGTCCAGCCTGCCGAGCGTCGTTTCCTTGACAAGCAGCCCCCACACCCAACACACTGCTCTGCCCCCATCAATCCACTGTCCCACAGCTGTCCTCTCTTCTTACTTAAGCCCAGTTATTCCGGAAGGACCCCATCTGCTCAGTGGCGCTGGTCCCTGTCCGCGTGCCCTGCATGGCATGTGGAGACCCAGCTCAGCAGCGGCTCAGTCTGCATGTGTCCCGAGGTTCCCAGCTCCTGAGCCCATTGTCAACACCCACACTGAAATGGACCCCTGTCCGCTGTGACAGCTCAGTGTTCTTTGGGTGGGGCTGCATCTTAGGCTTTGAAAACCAACTGGGCCATATCTCAGTGTCTCCATGGCCTTGGGCCCCGGGCAAGGCTGGGCCCTCCCTCCTGCTGCGTTGGCTCTGCTCCCACTCCCATTACCTCGCTCAGAAGGCATGAATCCTCACGGCCCCGGGGCCTTTCCCAGCCCTCCCCATCTCCTAACAAGCAGGTACCTTGATCCTCACTCACATGAGATCTAGCCCAGGCCGGGCGTCTCTTCCATCTGCCGCTGCCCATGCCAGACTGCAGGGGCAGTTTGGGTGTGAGAATAACACTTGTTTTGATTAAAATAACAGCCAAGAATTAGTTTGTGTGCCATCTCCCTGTCACTGAGTACACCTGGAATCTTCTAGAAGAACTGTTAGCTGAGCAAGGCTAATAAATCCCCACCTTGTACAAGTAGAAGTGTTCATTGTTTCAGGACTTGTTTTCAGCAGTACTTTCATCACTGTGGTTCTGTTTCTTTTCCTCCAGTAGAAGGAGGTAAGCAGCACTGGGCTGGAAGATGCTGACTTTGCTCTTTACTAAGCTGAGGTCCATTACTGTTGCCCCGGGAGATGAGGGCTGGCCAGTGTAGACCTGGCGAGGGGGTTCCAGGGTCCTCCCTGGTTTGTCACTTCTGAGCAGGAGTCACTGGCTGCCATGGTATCCTCACAGCGTTCATGACAAGTTGGGTCATTATTTTCAATCAAACGGGAGGAATGCCGGTAAGACACCTGAAAGGAGGGGTGCCAGCCAAGGAACCGTTGCCAGAGCCCTGGCCGGCTGCCCTGAGAGTGCTCTGTGAAGGGGCAGGGCCAGCCCCTCTGCTGTCTTCGGCAGCTGCAGAAAGCAAGGACAGAGCCAGGGGCCAGGCGGCAAATGCCTTAGCCACGTCCCCAGACAAGCGTGTGCACGGGAGGTGGCTCTCCACACACACACAGACCCCACCCAGCTGCAGCCTGCCAGTCCCCTTCCACAGCTCCAGGAGGAGGCCAGGTGGGACCTGCCCCACAGCCTGGGACGGGAGCCACGGGGACAGGGCAGGCAGTGTGGACGCCTTCTTGGGGGTCCAGAAAGTCTGAGTCTTAGAGCCAGAATTAGGTGCCCCGGGGGCTTAATACTGGCTTGTACTTTATTATTTTAGAGAGAGCTTGAAAACTCCAGACAAATGTTTAAAAAATTTGTAATTCTGTCTCTGTCGATTTACATCTTTGTTTGATATTGTTTAGTGCTTCCTGAACAATAAATGCTAACATGTAAACATGGCCCGAGGCCTATTTAATTTTGGGTCTCCCAGGTGTCTCCTTGCTCAGGTCCTGAAGAGGCAGAGCACAGGAGGGCGGGTGGAGGTGAGGGCCACCTTTTAATTTATTTACGATTTACCTAAGCTCTGAGGCCAGTCTGGAGGTGGCATCCGGTGAGAGCCCAGTGGCTTTCCTCGGGTGAATACGGGAAGGGGGCATGAAGGATCCGTCCCCACCCAGGGGAACAGCCCACCTACAGTCTCCACAGCCCCTTCAAGGGGGGAACTGAACCGCACTTATGGGCTATCTTGGGAAGTTAAATGCAAAATAAAGATGACATCTAGGTTTCGGAAAGTTACTGGAGAGCCAAGGCACCGATGAGGCCGGTGGGTCTTCCCTCCACAAAGATGCTGGACTGAGAGGCGGCGACCAAGAAGGCAGCCAAGGGCGGGAGGAGTGGGGGGCATCTGGGTGGCGGGGGACCTAGATGCGCTCGGGACAAGCGGCGGCGGCGCGGGCCCCGCGAGTCACCATGGGGATACGAGGCCGCCCCGAGTTCTCTGTGGGACAGACAGCTGCCCCGGCCACCCGGACCGCCCCAGCCGGTAGCCCCCAGCCCTGCATCCGCACGCGGGGACTGTGCGCGCCGTCTCCGACCCCCGAACCCGGCGCGGGGGTGGGGGGGCGCCGGGAGTGAGGGTCGGAGGGAGGCCCGGGGTGGCGCGCGGAGGCGGGCCAGGAGGGTGGCGGGCGGAGCCTGCCCAGCGCCCGGGGCTGGTCACTGGGGGTCCGGTTGTGACCCTCGGGTCTTTATGACTTGGGGGCTCTGACTGTAAGGGCGGGTCTGTGTGACTCCGACAGCCGGGCGCCGGACAGGACCACGGGACCCCGGGCGCAGGCGGGGCGGCCACTCCTCCCCGCGGACACCATGGCCCGCGCGTTCCGGCGCCCCGGTCCCCGTCCCCGCGC